CAAGGGGGGCCCAAGGTGTTTGAGACTAGTTTCCAGTTTGGCGGACCCACCTCTATTGTCAGTGCAAGCAGCTGGCATCACTGCAGGGGTCTCAAGTTTGGTGGTCCTGGAAGACCCAACTCCGGTGGTCCCTAGTCCAGTGTCCCTGGAGGACCTGACTCAGGTGCTCCTATGTTCGGTGGTTTCTGAGGTCACTGAGCAGCCTACTCTCCTTGTCTCGGCCATGGAGGCCGCTACAGAGTTGCCCGATTTCACTGCTGCCGCCACGAAGGCCATCACTGGGCAGCCCGCTCTCCTTATCTCAGCCATGGAGGCCACTAAAGAGCCACCCGATTTCACTGCTGCTGCCACGAAGGCCATCACTGAGCAGCCCGCTCTTCTTGTCTCAGCCATGGAGGCCGCTACAGAGTCCACTCAAGAACCTGCTCCAGTCCAGGAGCCTTCAGATTCCACTCAGGAATCCGCTCCAGTCCGAGAGCCTACTCCTACCCATGAGTCTGCTCGACCATGGTGGTTAAGAACTCTGCCTGCGCTGCCTTGATGGTCTTTAGTGCCACTTTGGTGGTCTTCAGCCCCACTTGCACCAATATGGTGGTCGCCAGCTCCACCATGGGGATCTTCAGTCATGCTTGCTCTGCTGTGGTGGTCTTCTGCACTACCGTGGAGGACTTCAGCCTTCTCTGAGAGGCTGTGGTGGACTTCAGCTCTGCCCTGGAGGGCTTCAGCTCTGCCCTGGAGGGTTTCAGCTCTGCATGCTCCGCCCTGGAGGGTTTCAGCTCCGCATGCTCTGCCACTCGGGCCTGGCATACCATCCCTCCCCTGATCCGCCTCCTGTCCACCTCCCTCCTAGACATTTTGTTTTCTGATTTAGTATGTGGAGCATCTGGAATCTGTCACAGTTCTGCTGGTGTGCCCTTGTTGGCCACCAGATGTCACTGTGGGTTTGTTTGAGCACATGGCTTGTTGTGTGTTTGTTGGTGCCATGTGCTCTCCTGTGTATTGTCTGACCCCGCCCTTCTTATCTCATTATAGTTTCAGTTATTCCACCTGTGTCTCCCTCGTTAACCTCCACGTTTGTCTCGCTATTTATTCTCCTGGTGTCTGCAGTCCTGTGCTATTTCGTTGTTTTATGTCAGTGAGTATTTCTTGAGTGTGTGTGGTATGTTCGTCTTGCCTTGAAAGTGCTCTGTCCTGGCCTGCCTGCTTACCTGTTTTTCCCCCTTGGGGTAGTTTTTGTTGTGGTTTTTATTTATTTAATTAATAAAAGACCCATTCTTCCTGCACCTTGAGTTCTCGCTGCTTCCACTCACCCATCCGGCTGATACTTTAATGTCAAATTAACTTTCATAAATAATTCTCATATGTTGCTTTGGTGCTCAAGAAACATTTATTATTATCAGTGAAAACTGTTGTGCTCCTTAATATTTTTGTATGAACTATGAAACATTTATCAAAGTTCAAAAGAACAGGATTTAATTGAAATGGAAGTCTTTTGTAACATTATAATCGTTTTTACTGTCACTTTCAATCAATTCAATTGCTGAATAAAAGCAATAATTTATTTTTAAAAATCTTACAGCCCCCAAACTTTTGAACAGTAGTGTATGTCTAGATGTGATACAGTCCTGTGAAATGTGGTTATGGGTGTGTATGGAGAGGAGGAAGTGATTTTTTTTTCCTTCAGCAGGCACAGAGGGTGTAATCCCCACACTATTACCTCAGATTACATTTGCTTGCTGGGAAAAGATTGCAAACGCATGGCATAAAGAGAATTGTTCCCTCCTTCTTGACAGTTCTGCAGATATGTGTGTATTTCAAAGCAGGCAGATTAGCATTTCTTATTCAACCCTTTAGTAGCACCATTGGACTGGATACCGACCCCTGAGGGACATTAAGAGCTTATTGTTTAATTTATTATCTTCTACAAATCCCATTCACACTACCCTCATGTGGCCTTACTACACTAACTAGAACCACAGTCACTTTTTACTGTGGGAGGCACATTAGGTTGGCTTGTGTTGGATGAAGATTTGAATGCAAAGACTGTCCATATTTTTCTTTCAGTATTAAATGAATTATGTATATTTAAAATGGATATAATATGATAATATAATGGCATACTGGATTTATTTCCTACTGTTTTAATCACAGTGCATTCTGGGAGTCCCTTTGTTACAAAGGCCATAATGAGGAATCTTAGTAGGAAGCATAATTAAGATGCCAAGAAAACAATGCCTTAGAAACCTGCCTCTATAGGCAGCTTAGTTGGTTTCGGTAAAGGATACTTGTTTCATGACATAAGAATTGTCTGAGCAACCTATTAGTCTTTTTTTACTCTTGTTAGTGAAGATCATCCTCTTTCCCATCTTAACCCAAACCCATTTGAATGCGGTTGAAATAAACCCCTTTCTTCATTTCCAGCCGATTCACTCATATTCTCAGCTCATTTTAAATTGGTGGATTTCTCTTTCAGAGCTGCGGCTGCCATCGTGTTAATAAGTACAGTGGAAAACACACTCTCAGATCTGACTGTGCTGCAAGTCATGAGTCTAGACTGTTGACGTGCTGCAAAGCGAGCCACTTTCCTCATTCATTATACGTTTTATGTGTCACTGGTTTGTTCCAAATTAGAATTGAGCTCTCACTCAGGTTTGACATGTACCCATTTGATTAGAATAGATACAATCGAAAATGAGAAGAATATCTAGCAGATTTGGCTATTTTTATAAAGGAAAGTTGTTTTGCACTTCAAATAAAAGCAGAAAATCAGATTTTTATCTCCAGTCATTTAAATTTAAAAAGTCCATTGAAGACTACAGTGGATACAAGCAATTCAGCAACAAGATGATAAGAAATGCCTGTGGAATCACAAATCTAAGATTTTTGCATAATTTGTAGTCTGATTCTAAACCTATTTAGAATATTAATAACTAAGTAAATAGTAAGATAACAAAAACTGAATATCATAAAATGAGTTTGTTCAGTTGAAATACAGAAGAACTCTGTAACTTCTAGTTTTATATTAACCGCACAATTGTTCATATTCTGATAACCATCAATTAGGTTCAGTGTTGTTTTTGTTAACTAAACACAGAACTAATTGAAATAATTGAAATAATAATAATAATTATTATATTTTTATATTTATATTTTTACTTATATTTTTTTCCATTCAGTATTTATATTTTATTCTGGTTTTATTTCAATTACAAATAGTTATTTTTATTTATTAATAAAATAATAAAATAACTGATTCATTTTATGTTATGAAATATTATACAAATTTACTTAACCAGTAATCTGCAAAATAAAGAACTGCACATGAATACATAAAAAATATTTTTCAACTATCTTGCAAAAAAAGATTTTTTTTTTCTTCCAGAAATAGTCAAATCTGTTGATATTTCTCTTCAGTTCCCTATAAAAATAAATGCACTACAAGGATTTCATCCAGTATATGATGCATTGCCGATGCATCTATGTCTATAGCAACAGCAACATGGTGCTTTACAGGTGATGTAATACACTTTCCTCCTATGAATAAATTCTCACAGCTATTTGATATTAAAAGCGCTTATAACCAGACTCTTTCTGTGATGACAGACGGAGTCTTCTCATCTCAGAGAGCACCTGTGATGGGCTACACTGGACCTCTCAAATTGTATTTCCCCACTTTTACAAGCTTGCTCTCACTATCTCGCTTTCTTAGTAAAACCATTTTGCCACAAGCTGTCCTTACCTCTCCACCAATCACATTAAGATTTAAATTTCATCCAGCCACCAGCTGAAGGGCACTTGAAAGCCCTGTTAAAGAAAAAGTAGAGAGGCTGTTTTCTTGTGAACGGATTGCGGCCCTGTGAAAGGCCTCCACGCTGCAGGTTGGACTTAAATCGATTACATGCATTGTTCGCTCCTCCAGAAAATTGATGTCTGGAGTTTTCATTGTTTTGCGATACACGGCCACGCCTGAGAAGAGACTCATCGCTTATCAATGTGAACAATCTCCATTAATAATACTGTGACTTTTTTCCACTGTAATCCCTCCACAAAATGTCTTTGAAAGTGATGGTAGAACAAACAAACTTTGATTTTACTGCTAATGCCTTCTTCCTCACCATTTAATTTTAAGGCTACAAACTCTTCCTCATAATGAATCTTCATTTAATCATGCCAACACATGCAGGAATACATGAAGAATTAGCTTATGAAAGATAGTGATGGTATCATATGAATTTAAATGTGTATTGTGCAGTAATATCTTGTAGTTTTGCAGTAGACCTTATTTAAGCACATTAAGTAAATAATACTGTAAATAAGATAGTGAATATCAAAATTAGTTTGTTCAACTGAAATATTGTCCTCTTTTATGTTAGAAGCATAATTGTTCATTGTTGTTGGAAATTGATTATATATAACTAAAATAAAAAGAAAAATGATTGAAATAACGGTAATTGAAATAAAGACAAAATAAAATATACATATTAGATGAAAAAGGAAAACTTGGAATTAGAAATGTTGCTTTGGCAATTAACTGAAGTAAATAATAAAAGAAAAAAAAAAGAAAACTGAAATTATAAAAATAAAAGCCCATTCAAAATATCAAAAATACTATAATAGTATATAACTAATACTAAAATAGCACCAATTAGTTTTGGTGTATACACTCAAGATACAACTGGCAGCTTGTAATATAATTGGGCAGTAGTACTGTGGGGGGAAAAACTATCCAAAAAAATATCCAGACTGAATTTACATTATATGTAATATACATTTTCTTAACCAGTAATATGTAAAATGAAGTACTGTAGATGTAACCAGTATTATTCAAATTATTTTAGCTTTTAATGATTTTGATTAGATTGTGAGATGGTATCATCATGCTTATTATTAGCGTTGATGATGATTTTGATTGTCACACAATCAAACAGTTAAATTTCTGTCACTGTAATTGATGATGATTTAAAAAAAGTCTATGTGTGTGTGTGTGTGTGTTGATGCAGGGTATGATGTACTTGGAGGACAGGAGACTTGTGCACAGGGATCTGGCTGCTCGGAACGTCCTAGTGAAGTCACCCAACCATATAAAGATCACTGACTTCGGTCTGGCTCGCCTTCTGGATGCAGATGAGAAGGAATACAATGCAGACGGGGGCAAGGTCAGTGTCACATGACCCCAACAAGACAAAGGGCACGCACTGACTTGTTTGCATAACATAATTTTATAAGTGCTCTGTGTGTTGGAGCAACAATGCTTTGAGTAATCAAGAAATGTGCTGCACTTAACATTCATCCCTGGGTTTTAGAACACAGCCTCTAATGACAGGCTAATTAACAATGTTTGCTAAGGCCAAATGTACACTACAAAACAGAAGGTTTCACTCTGCACACATTCAAAAACTCACAGGTTCTAAAGGATCATGTTGGTGCACACTTTACACGACTAATCAAAACCAGAGTAAATGCAGACTAGTTAGACAGTATGAAATATGTGCTTTTATTTTTCTGAGTGATCAGATTTAAAGATTTTGCCTCATGATGAAATGGGCAAAGGATTTCTGCTTTTCATTGAAGGAGAAATCCAACAATGAAAATAAATGAATCAATCAATCAATCCTGTTTTGATTTAAAAAAAAAAGGCAAATTCATTCTAAAAAGAAAATGCAGTGTTTCAAGTATTACAGTATAGCATATTGGTACCTGTATATTTTACCATTTATAAAATATATAGGCACTATTTTTCATTAAGTGACTATGTTAATATATCAAAATCAGCCTTTTGCCTTGAAATGTACTTATAACCACCATAATAATGCAGGTATTAAAATATAAAGCCACATGATGACTCAGAGTTTATTGTAAAAGGCCTTTCCATAAAACATGGCCAGTACTCATATAAACAATTCACAGGGTCAAACACACAAAGACAAAACACTGTCACTGTAACACATTACACTAAAATAATGCAATAAACTAAATAACATCAAACGTTTAACAAAACACCCTAATGTAAATTAGTGGTTACAAAAATGAGAAGAAACAAAACTATTTGTTTAAAATATACTGGGAATGTCCTTTTACTGTTTACAATACATACAGTGCCTTGTGAAAGTATTCATACCCCTTCATTTATTTCACATTTTGTTATGTTTCTGCCTTATGTTAAACTGCTTTAAATTACTTTTTTCCACATCAATCTACACTCCATACACCATATTGACAAAGCAAAAACAGAACTGTCACAACTTCGTAAATTTATTTAATATAAAAAACTGAAATAAGTGCATTGCATAAGTATTCATACCCGTAACTAAATATTTAGCTGAAGCACCTTTACAGTCTCAAGTCTTTTTTGTTTGATGCGACAAACTTTGCTCTTCAGCATTTGGCAATTATCTGCCATTCTTCTCCTGACCTCTTCACCTCTCAAGCTCTGTCAGGTTGGATGGAGGCAGATGCACATTTTCAGGTTTCTCCAGAAATATTTGATTGGGTTCAAGCTCAGGCTCTGGCTGGGCCACTCAAGGACATTCACAGAGTTGTCTATAATTGACTCCTGCTGTGTACTTAAGGTCATTGTCCTGTTGGAAGGTGAACCTTCTGCCCAGTTTAAGGTTCTGAATGCTCTGGACTAGGTTTTCATTAAGGCTATCTCAGTATTTTGGTGCATTGAGCTTTTCTTCTACTCCGATGAGTCCCTCAGTCCCTGCCGCTGTAAAACACTGAACCACAGCATGAGGCTGCTACCAGCACATTTTACTTTTGGGATGGTACTCTGCAGCTGATGAGCAGTGCCTGGTTTCCTTCAAACATGATGCTTGGAATTGAGGTTCATCAGACCAGAGAATCTTGTTTCTCACAGTCTGAGGGTCCTTTAGGTGCTTTTTTGCAAATTCCAAGTGTGTTTTCATGTGTCTTACCTGAAGAGAGGATTGAGTCTTGCCACACCGCCATAAAGCCCAGATTGGTGGAGTGTTGCAGTGATGTTTGTCCTTCTGTAGATTTCTCCAATTTGCATATATGATCATGGAGCTCAACTAGAGTGACTGTCAGGTTCTTGGTCACCACACTAACCAAAGCCCTTCTCCATCAGTTGCTCAGTTTGAACAGTTCTGGTTGTTTCAAACTTCTTCCATTAAGGGTAATAGATACTACATACTTCTGTGACCCTTCAGTGAAGTAGAATTTTTTCCTGAACTCTTCCCCCAGATGTGTGGCTTGACACAAACCTGTTTCTGAGCTCTACAGGCAGTTATTTTGACCTCAGGGCTTGGCTTTTGCTCTGATATGCATTATCAGATGTTAGACCTTTTATTAAGACGTGTGTGCCATTCCAAATTTTTCCCATTCAATTGAATTTGCCACAGGTTAACTTCACTCAAAGTGTAGTGACATCTACAAGCAATATGTATGTTCCTGAGCTAAATTTCAACTGTCCCAGATAATGCAATGGAATCATTTAAGTTTTTTATTTTTAATAAATTTGCTTTACCATTATGGTGTATGGAGTGTAGATTGATGTGGAAAAAAAGTAATTTAAAGCAGTTTAACATAAGGCAGGAACATAACAAAACGTGAACATTTTTACTTGCAAAAAACATACATCTGACAGTATTTTATAGTGAAACTACATGTAATGTTAAACCATTTACAGTTTTTCACTGTAAAACTTACATTAAACCAATTATCAGGTATTTACTATAGAGTTTTAAAGTTTTTCAATAATATATGTATTTATTTATTGCCACTAAAGCCATACCCTAAATAAGAAATATAATTTGACTTTTATCTTTCATCAGTAAGGAACCACCCAGAACTAGTAAGCCCAATTAACCCAATAGCAACGCACTAGAAATAACTTTAAAAAAAAACATAGCAAAAGCATAGCAACACCCTGGTAACCAACCTACCCTAAGATTGAGTCACTCTTCCATCCTCTCTGCACCTTTTCATTTCAAACAAACTTCCACCCACCTGCAGCTGTGTCCTTTTCCTGCACTTCACTTCATGTACACGTTCCATCTTATCCATCTGAATCTCCCTCTTTGTGCTGTACCAGAATAGAGCACCCTGGGACTCTGTTCTATTCAGCTCCAACCATCTACCTTTTTAAATCAACCATGTTTGTTCTCCCACAGAGGAAAAACTCTAAAGCTTTAGCGTGGTTTGATGCCGAGCAGCACTGCACACATATTTAGCCCAACCTGTTTCTTCCAATAGCAAAAGATGAAAAGAATCAGATATCACTGATTATTCCATTTCTGAAATATTAACTTTCCAGACTTAATATATAATGCATGATTCTGTGATAAGGTTTGGTTTTAGCAATGTAAGCTTTGAAGAAACTTTGTCAAGTTGCGTAAATAAACAATAAAGCAGTACTTGCTGTGCTCACTTGATGAGTGTTATTTTATTTTTATTTATTTACTTTATTACATTTTCATGTACTGTATCATTGTGTATTTTTTATTCAACATGATCCACTGTTCCCTCTTGTTTTGTCAGATGCCTATAAAATGGATGGCTTTGGAGTGCATCCACTATAGGAAATTCACCCATCAGAGTGACGTATGGAGTTACGGTGAGATGAGCCTTAATTGCAGTTAATTGCCTCAGTAAAATGTAACTTATCTTATTTAAAGTCTAATTTCAAGTGTTTTCGTGCAGTTAGACTCTGTATGAATCAGACAAACACCGACACGACAGTCTCAACACATGCCTACAAGCTTTTAAATTGATGTTTATTGGATTTTTTCCAGGAGTGACTATCTGGGAGCTGATGACATTCGGAGGAAAGCCGTATGATGGAATCCCAACCCGAGAGATTCCTGACCTGCTGGAGAAAGGAGAGAGGCTTCCTCAACCTCCCATCTGCACTATTGACGTCTACATGGTCATGGTCAAATGTAAGGGAGCTTTGCACAAATTTTCATCCCAAATATTTTTTTCTTCACACCCATGACACATCATGGTAGAAGTTTTTATTTAGTGTTCAAGCAGGTCAGCTAAGGAAACCTTGCGTTTATACTGTAGGTCAGTGACCTTTGAATCCTGTTGTGTATAAGTAAGCTGCTACATAATTATCAATAAGAAATTGTAGGTTATTAATTAAGACATTTAAAATGCATCAACATGATTTAATGTTTTTATTGTGACACAGTTGTTCAGTACAGCTGTTTTTCTCTCAGCCTGTTGATCAGTCTGACGTCAAGTGTTTACAAATGTTCCTTCAGATCCTAAATAACAGTGTTGTTTTTGTTAACTAAAACTAAAACTATTAGAATTGCTAATTGAAATAAAACTAAAATAAAATACAATATAAATATCTGATGAAAAAGAAAAATTAGATATGCTGCGGAGGAAACTTTTTAAAAATTAAAAAGTTAAACTATAATAATTACCAAAACTGAACCTGAAATAAAAATAAATATAAAAAATAACAAAAATACTAAAACTAAAAAGAAACCGAAAATAAAAAGCTAATTCAAAATATTTATTTTCGAAAATAGTTTATAAATTGTACTAAAATAAATGAAAAGCAAACAACAAACGGTGCTAACATTGTGCTGTAGTACTACACAAAAAAAAACATGATTAAAACCTTTATTGCCAGACCTAAATCTTTATTGGCCATACCGTGATTCATCTTTTATGAATAATTAAAATACTGGTGTCTGGGACATTGTGAGCCATGAACTAAACAGCTATTGAGATGTGTTCTTACTTGAAACAGAGTAGAGGCTTCGACCCGGAAACAATATTGGGACAGAAATATGTTTACAGAACTTACCATGAAAGTAAGTTAATTCCAGAGAATTTCACTGCAGAAATATGAAGCTTGCAGTTTTGTTAAATCGCTTATTTGAATTGCTCTGTATAAAATATGTTATTTGAGTTGTTAATGCGCTCTACTGTTCTAGGCGGATGAACTTATCAACTTATCAGCATATTGTTATGTGCGTTGTTTTAAACACATTTTCTATTGTTTTAAAAATAGAGGGAAAATTATTTCTTTGGTATTTGTCAGCATTTCGCAGATGCTGAAGCCAGAACCTTCTATTAAATGTACAGAAAGCTCACAGCATTGTTTATCCGTTGTGTTCTACTTTGCTGACTGAAGTTGTGCTATGCGTGTCCCTCCAGGCTGGATGATAGATGCAGACAGCAGACCCAGATTTAAGGAGCTTGCAGCAGAGTTCAGCCGAATGGCAAGAGATCCACAACGTTACCTAGTCATCCAGGTAAGAGCCTCACTGCTGGGCTCAAGTGGCCATGATGTGCTGTACAATAATAAAATAAAAGAACAAATGATAAATAAAACACATAAGCGTCATAAAGTCTTGTTTCATGATATCTCAAGCCCGATGCTCTCTGTGTCAGGGGGACGACCGCATGAAGCTGCCCAGCCCCAATGACAGTAAGTTCTTCCAGAGTCTGCTAGATGAGGAGGAACTGGAGGATCTGATGGATGCCGAGGAGTATTTGGTGCCACAAACCTTCAGTATTCCTCCACTGGCATACACAACCAGATCACGCATGGACCCCAACAGAGTGAGTGTACTACCCGATCACACACTCACGCAGAGTCATTTAATAAACCACACTCTGTCAGAGACAGTATAGCAGAGACGGGCCACTTGTATTACAATGAATGGGGTAAATTGAAATGCCCAGTTTGGAAGCTCTAGTAATGGAAGGCATGTCTTCCTCATAAAAGAGCCAGTTTGCAAAGTCATCGCTTGGTCTTCACAACAGTTCTTGCGTTTTGACTGATGTCACAAAATGTGAATTGGCTAGACCTAACCTGAAAGAAAATAATTGTACATTTTTTGTTTTGGGTGTTTATATATACTACCGTTCAAAAGTTTGGAGTAACCAATGTTTTTTTGTTCAGCAAGGATGCATTAAATTTACCAAAAGTGACAGTAAAGACTTTTAAATTGTTACCAAAAAAATCTACATTATTAATAATTATTTTGGACTCCCTATTCATCAAATATCCTGAAAGAAAATGTATCATGGTTTCAACATGATGAAAAGATTAAATGCTTTTTGCTGAAAATTTAGCTTTGCCATCACATAACTAAATTATATTTAAAAAGAAAATAGAAAATTAAAAATAGAAAATGTGTTTTAAATTGTAATATTTCACAGTATTACTGTTTTTTTTTCTTTCTTTTTACTATTTTGATCAAATAAATCCAGCCTTTTTGAGCCTAAGAGACTTCTTTCAAACTTATTAAAAATCGTACTGAGCCCAATCCTTTGAACGATAGTACCTAATTTGAATGTATCTTAAGGGACTTTGGAATCAGTCAGTGTTTAGTGGCTAAACCGGACTGTACTTTGTCTATGCAATTGTGTAAAGTCTTTCAAAGTCATTGGATTGTCATTTTTGCATTTCTTTAATGTACCTATCTAATGTACTTCATCTCAATACTTGGAAATAATAATAAGCTCTAGATTTCTGTTTTGGTAAAAAGTTTGAAGAGAATCAGTTCACTTAGGTGGCACTCTTCAGGATAGCACGAGTCCTGTCAAATATTGAAATATGTCTTTAGCAGGCAAAGGACAAGAGGTCGTTGATGCATTGAACATACATCATGCATCCACATTTGGGTATTTTGCACATATTTACATATTTTAGGATACCTTTTACATTTTAATGCACTTTTAGTTCTCACTCCATGAAGCTCTATTTATTGCTTGTCTAAGGCTGAATTGAGTTTTCAGATGAGTCCATCATCTAACTGACATTGACCTTGGAGTGGATGGATGCTCTGCTGGCCAATTAAGTGCTGCCCACATGAGCATCCCAGAAAGCCTGGACCACCATTCCTGCACTGACAGATGCTACGCTGTCCCAGAACGAACCTGTCTGCCGTTGAAATATGAAATCACGAATGCGATGAGAAAAGGAAGTCTCAAAATTCAATAATGCCCCCCTATTGATAAAGGGTATTGAAATGCTGAGATTCACACAGTCTTTTTTTATTTACAGGTGCTAATTTGTCTTAGCATTTGACATGCATTAAGGTTTTCCTGTAGAGCGGAGGAAGGAAAAAAATAAAATCACCCTCAATACACGTGTGCCTATAACAGGCTCCATGCCTGGGCTTTCATTACAGAGGCATACCAGTGTAAATAACTGGGTCCTCACTAAAGTGAAGATGATATTTGCCCATTGACAGGAAGTCCAGAGTGGGTATTTGCTCTGTGTTAGTCAGCCATGAGCACGTTATTAACTGTTGGTGTGCGCAGCGGCAATGGGAAAGGACAACCGATTGGGATGCATCTCAAACAGCTCTTAACTGTAACTTAGCAAGACAAAATCTCAGGGTTCAATCAGTCTTTGCCAGGGACTTAGAACGGATTTAGCGAGGGTGTGAGAGTGTGTGGGAGGGGTGGGTGTGATGAAATGTTTCCTCTTTTCGCCTGGACCATGTTCGCAAACCATGTGTGCCATTTTGCATTCTAACTTGCGTTTTGTTTTCGTCTAACTGGGAGAGAAAAGAGAGTGAGCGGTATGAATATCAATGAGGGACATCAATCCTTCAGAGCCTCTTTGGAACATTACAGAAATCTTTCGCCTGCAGTTTGCCGTATAAACTGAGCTTTCTGCCAAATAACCCAAATAGCGGATTGCAATATTAACTCAAATTCAACTCCACTCAAAATGTTTTGAAGTTTGAGCATAATGGAAAAAGCAAATTTTTGTGCATGTCTTTCAGCTCATCCTTGGTCAGTGGGTTGTAAATGTTTAATGGGATACTGGGATAAAAGCTAATTTTTTTAGGTTTGGCATAAACATTAAATACTTTATTAAGCTTTATATTTTCATGTTTACTTTGTATAAATTATTTTATACTTTTAAAATAATGGTTATTCCTTGTAAACTGCAAATTTGATTTATTGAATACTCAAATGAAATTTCTGAAGCCTTTTATTCACAAGATTATCCAATAATGGGCATTACCATGTTTATTTATATACACTTTCAGTTACTTTCTATAAGACAATAACTACTATGATATGTAAAGATATAAAATTACTAATTTCATGATATGGCATTTAATGATACTGCCCACTCCTTACACAAGTATAGTTTTACATTAGTTGTGACAGTCTCAACTCTTAGTTCCTCTTCTTTAGAGTAATGGTCTGCCCAGCAGCACTCTTCATTCACAACAACGAACTCCAGTGTGTTCAAACAGCATCATGGACGGGTGCTGGAGAAGACAGGACAGAGAAAGAGAGATGAGATGGGTGTTTTGTGGTTAGTGGAGAAGCAGAGAAAATGTCAGTGGTAAGGGAAAATGAGGAAACAGACACTGAATTGAGGACATAGCCAGTGTTTCTCTGAGCAGACAGAACACCTGCAAAATTACTGCAGAGAGTTTACAGCATCAGTAGAAAAGTACTATGGTACTAGGTACTACCATGTGAGTATCACACTATAGTTGCAAATTCGATTAAAAATAGTCAGATAACCATCTTGTTTTGAATAATCAAGTGAATTAAATGCTTTACAAAAATCCTTTGGTTTTCTCTGAAGTGCTTTAAAGAACCATTTAAAATACCATAAGGCAGAAATATGGTGATCATTTAGTACCATGGTACTGTATTATAGTAACATGGTTTTACCATCTTATACCTTAAAAATGTACTTGGCCTTTTTGCTACAGTCTTGCCGCCACAGCACTTAACGAAAATCAAATTCACAACAAGAGCTAGAAACAAAGACAGGCATATGGAGAGAGTCTGAGGATTAGGAACAAGAAAAAACAAATAGTTTAATTGTGATGAGATTTCTAATTGCATCAGGAGAGCTGTGTTACTACACACTCGTCTGTTCATTCACTGTTGCCAAGTTTTCAATAAATCTCATAAACTGTATTAATATTTGGAGCCTCGCTAGCATAAAATATTTGCCTCTCTTGAAGTGTTTAATTGTAAAGCAAACAGAAATAGATCATGCCGAAGATACTAAAAGCCTCATTTGTGTTTCTGCAGAACCAGTTTGCGTACCAGGACGGCAGCTTCGGCATGGAGGAGATGATGGCCACTATCCCGCGGGTTGTGGCTGTGTCCGCGGTCAGCCCAGGCTGTTCTGGTCAGAAGCAATCTATGATCCAGCAGGGGGCATCGGGATCCTCTGAGGCATTTGAAGACAGCCGCTGTAATGGCACTCTGAGGAAGAAGGCTTCACCCAGGGCGAGCACCGGGGAGGACAGCAGTGGCCAGCGCTACAGCGCAGATCCAACTGTGATACTGTGTGAGCGTGGAGCAAGAGCTGAGACCGACCAGGATGGATACATGAGCGCCATGCAGGACAAAAAGCCCTCAGGTACTGGAAGGATAAACTGGAGCAAGCGAAGAGATTGATCTAACGGAGCTCACATAGAGATATGTTATGCATTTTACACTTGACATTATTTATCCAGTGTCATTTGTAACCTTCGGTTGTGTTTTTTCAATGATTCGCACTGTTTAGGTTGTTACCCAGTGGTTAGTAATTAATCCTGTGTAGTCATGTTTTGAAATTTCACTTTGTAAATTTGGGTTATGTTCTTGATATTTACAAGGTTAATAATATTGCCTCAACAAATACAGAACAAAACCTTTTTTTAATAACTGCTTGTCCATCTGTGTAAATTTCACCATATCCACTCTGGTCGTTTTAAAAGGGATAGTTCACCTAAAAATAAAAATTCTGTCTTTTACTCACCCTCATGCGATTGCACAACTGTAAGATTGACATTCTACTATGGAACACAAAATATATTTTGAAGAATGTTGGAAACCAAACAGTTGTGGAGACCACTGACTTTCATTGTATAAACAAAAAAATACTGAGACATCTCAAAATATGTTCTTTCCTCTTTTAAAGAAGAAAGTAAGTCAGTGAATGATGACAGAATGACAGAATTTGCAATCACTGTGACCTTTTTGCCTTTTCCTTAAATGTTGAAACTAAATAGAACCTGTAGAAGTTTCTGACTACAAAGCTCATAATATTTAATGAGAAAAGCTTTGAGAGAATTTGTGATAATTTGTCTGCTCTTAAACATTACATTAAGATTACACTCTTTAATCTAAAGTGACTGACATGGCATCAAGACAAATACTTTTATCTTTTAAGAAATTAACATGTTAATTTACTTACATGAATCCTGCTAAACAACCAGCCTCTTGTTTCAAATTGCTTAGCTATTGCACCAGTACTCAGTACCCACTAAAGCTGCATTTAACATACTATCAAGCAGTTTTTCATGACCTAGGGTTCAAAGCAGTGATTAATCCCTTTGAAATTTCATAAAAGTTGCTAAGACATTAAGAGTTTAGGACAGTTTGAAAAGAAGCTACTGAATCTTGGGCTAATTTGTGTTCATTCTTGCACAGTCATGGGCTCACTAGCACACTTTGTAACCTCAAACATTTTGCTCTCAAATAGAGCAAAAATGTTCATGAAAAGAACTTGGATTTACTATAACTCTAGGACTTCAGAGAGCATCCTGTTGAGTCTGTATAGAAAACCTGCTGAGATCAATGGTAGTCGGCTTTACCTTAGAGCGCTAGCTGCCACAATGTTCTCATCCTGCCAACCTCCTCTCTTCTGACAGCTCTTTTCTTTTCTCATGCAGATTATCTCATCCCTGTGGAGGAGAACCCTTTTGTCACCCATCGCAGAAACGGAGAGGTCCACACACTCGAGCGAGGTTACCACAGTACCTCCAACGGGCAGCCCAAAGTGGAGGATGAGTATGTCAATGACCCGTTGTACCTCAACACCTTCCATAACTCTGGGGAAAAGAGTCACGACGTATTGAGGAAGAACGGAGTCCCTGTGGCGCACACGGCAGCAGCAGCAGCAGTAGTAGCAGCAGCAGCAAATAGTGGAACTTCCACCAGCCAGAACCTTTCCCAAACAATGCAGCCAGCGGCATCCAATGCCCACGTCACAACACAGCCACTCTACCAAGGCAAACAAAGCATCTCCACCCTCTCAGGCCACACCCTCCACTCTGCCCATCCCGGACACCCCCTCCACCCGATGCACACCCTCCATCCCGCTCACTCCGGGACCATCAAGGCCGACATAAAGCCCAAAAAGACATTTGACAATCCTGAGTACTGGCAGCACAGTCTTCCCCCCAAGGCCACTCTCCACAACCCCGAGTATCTGCAGGACTGCAGCACACGCTTCTTCTACCGGCAAAACGGGCGGATCCGACCCGCCGTGGCTGAGAACCAGGAGTACCTGTCCGAGTATGCACTAAAACCGGGCACCGTGTTGCCACCTCCTCCCTACCGCCAGAGAAACACTGTTGTGTAGCAACAATGACCAAGACAAACAAGAAAAGTTGGAGGTAAAGAGAGAGTCATAGTGTGTTCTCACCCTGGCTCTCACACCAGCATCCCGATCTCTCCGCTCCTCTCTGAACTGGATTTAACACCCAACCTCCAATGACCTGGAACTGATCCACTTGAGTGATTTTCTCTTCCAGAGGCATTGGTCACAGATGGCAACATCAATCAAAGCTCCTTCCTGCTTGTCTCTCCTCACTTCAATCACCATTAAGACCTGTTTCCCCTATCTGAGCCCAACTCTTCCCAGCATTTGGTAGATGCTACACTCATCTCATTGAAAGCAAGTACTGACGTTGACATGCAACATGGGTTGATCCAATAGCAGAGAGGAGTCATTCTTTTGTGCAATTACAGAAATGTTTATCATTTATCTTGTTTTGGGATTTTGTTTTGAAGCTACGATAAGATCTGCTGTAATTTATGACTTCGGATAGCATAGTTTATTTTAGCACTCCATACATGATTTTATGAGGCAGATGTGTTGTATGCAAATCCATCGTATTGGGAATATCGTTGTGGGCCTTGGGACAAAAGGGCCCAAAATGGTCCTCAATGTCGCCTACTGATTGAGACTGAAAAAAAGTAAGCGACAGGCCTGCCTGTACACTACATGCTGTTATATACAACAAAACATGTTCATTACAGCATGGTGTCAACTGGGACCTTTGATCACCACCTTCTCGAATGGCACATCTTCAAAAGACACAATGTGTAATGTTCTGTTCAAAATATCTGCATAATTCAACTGCACATGTATTGCTCAAACAAGGCATTTTTTATTACTTCTATTGAGCCATTCTTCATTTTTGATTCTTAAGTAAGACTGGAATGATTGCCAACTGGAAACAGTCCTGCGGTCCATATTATACGCCTGTAAAACTACACGTGTAAAGGCAACTTGATGAAGACAAGCGCTCCACGCTGAGAACAGTATCAGCACGCATATGAACGAGTCCGTACTGCAGCCCTCCACAAAATCAATAACTTCATAAAAGCAGATCTGCAACAGTCTACTGTAATAAAGTTTTTATTGTTGATCTAGCCAGCATTGATCGGTATGCTCACAAAGTTGTCACCTTAAGGTAGCCTTCCTTATTTTGTCATTTAATGTGTGGAACGAAAACCCAGATTGGGTCTACCTTGAACTTTAGAAGCTAAAATCAATACTAGAGACCAAGAGCATCCATGTAGATGGACGTACAGTGTTGAACGGATATTTACACAGCTACAGAGGCCCAGGTTTGTACGGAAGACTCGACAGCACACAACGCCTGGCTCCTCTTCTTAAATATGGCCGGAAAACTGTTAGAACTATTTTAAACTTCACCCACATGCGAGTCAATAAGATGTACAAGACTTGCGATTAAGATGGCAGCTTTTTCTAGCTGGGTTCATTAAAACTGCAACAGTGAGGGACGTTTTGAAATCAAGAAGGCAGGAGTACCATCATGCAGTACCATGAGGAACAAATGAGAGCGTACGAATGGATTATTTGCCCCCGAGGTCAGAGATGAGACTGCCTCAAATCTGTCAACTCCATTTGAACTGTCTCCCATAATGACTTTTCTATAAGAAGCGTCTCATGGAGCTACACGGATAGGAATTTAGGAAGATAACGCAGCTTATTTGGGCATGTTGTTCTCCTCAAATGGTGGAAAACAACTTTGCTACATCTTCGGTAAAACCACGCCATCCAGGTTTCTATGGCTAGATTGTGTATAGTTTTGAACACTGCCAGTCACTATGCTTTTCTGTTAAGGGGAATAATAATGTTGTTGTGTTGCTTGGTTGGAGATGTTTTATAGCACTTAACAGCCTGGCACAGCCACATGAGTTTGTTTTAAACACCAACGGCACTGATTGAATACTCATTTATTATAATCATAGCTACATGACGATAGCAAACACCACCCGCCCACATACGTTTGTTTTGCTCTATCATTTTTTTTTCCTTTGTATGTTTTTTTTTGTGCTTATGAATATGAAGGTTTATGGTTACATGGAGCACTTTAATTAATGAACATAACAAAGATAGAGCAGAATTCTTTTCATTGTGGGAATTGCTGTTCCCATGTGATAACAGATTTGACAAATTACATTTTTGGCTCTCTACTGGAAACAAAATCAGGGAATGTTAGTGGCGCGCAGTAATTTTGCCAAACACGGATGTTTACTAATTGAAGTATTTATCTCAAGCTTTTATTCTTAAATATAATGCAATTAGGGCAGAATTTAAGGTGGGTCACAGTAATGCTAAGATTACTTATAACAATAATATAAGACACCTTTACAGGACAAAACTGATACTTGAAATTGCTTTATTTTAGCTCCTATAGAGTTTGGAAAGTAGTTTAACAGTTATGAAGTACAGTGTGTAGAACTAAGGCCAAATTATATTTTTATTCAGCTTTCTTGTATTTATTATGAATCCAGTGCATAGTTATTTAAAGGATTCTGGTTGGGGTTATCAAAAGCCCAAAGAAGTACAAACTCCATGAAAACCCTCTTGTGTATAATTTCCTTCTCTTAGCCTAATTAAAGGCAAGGACCTCGTGCATATGCTACTGATAATGTCACCGCAAGTCTGGGTGTCTAAATCTATATGTAGCAACTGCTGTGAATACAGGGTGGGTAAAGAGCTACTAAATCCATCAAGTGAGGAACAACTAGGCCAAAATACAGAGAGAAGAATGCCTGAAATGTGAGGGTGACTGTTTGTGAAGACTTTCACAATTAGAGACTGTTAGAGGATGGAACTCATTCTCTTTGGAAACATTTCCACTTTCTAGGAAGTGAGGTTTGGATGGAGCACAAACATTTTGTCTCACTGCACATTGTTCATTGGTGACTCACATTTAGCAGAATCTAGAAGAACATGTGAAAGACATCTTGACATGAACTTGTGTATATATACCTGAAGGGGCTTGAAGATAGTTATTAAATCAAGAGTAGCAAGATACTGGTGAAGGCTTATGTTCTGCTTTTTTTTAAACATTGCTTTAAAAAATCTGAAGATTGAGTTCACTAAGTTTCAGTGCAACACTCTTGAATCAACTGTTCAAAATGCTTAGTGTGCTGGTTGTCATGCTCTTCTCCATCATTCAATTAATGATCATGTCGTTTATGTGTAGGTTTACTGCCTGATTTCTGTTAAGAGTAATAGGCCAATGAATTAATGAACCCAATTTACATAAGGCATGTGTATGCTAAAATAATAAAGACTTAATTTACAGTAAATACAGCGCAGAAACTATTTTGCCACATTTAGTGTTTGGTTAAACTGAACTGTGGGTGGTTGGTTAGAAAGTGTTGCGTTTTGAGTTCAAAAATCTAATTCAAATGTGCTTAGTGAATTCACCCTTTGATAATTTTTTTAGCTTTACTCCCTCATTTTTAACATATTTATCAGCTAGTTGCAATATCCATGATTTAGGCACTTAAAATTCCCTTAATAGGTTTTAATGAGCCCTACAGCTCTTTTATAATGACCATGTCATCGTATATTTTCAGTATAGAGAGGCAATAAGTTTTACAAAATACAATGCGTTTCAGTTTCTGTGATCACATTACCGTTAAGGTACTTACAGTATGTTAGGGCACTTAATGTTTAACGCCAACAATTAAATTAATTTACAGTGTTATTGTGTCTGATCTGATCATGTGTATTTACATATGAAATCTGCAGTGTCAAAGATGCAAACAAGCACAGGTTTGTTCTTTTGGGTCCTTCTCATTAGCTGTGCCCCCTTTTCTTGTATTTTCTTTTGCAATGCTCACTGGAACTTAGTTTGCATGTGGCAAGGTAGTCAGAAAGTATCGGTAGACTAAGCACAGTTAAAAAAAATCATTTTATATTACAAAGGACAAAAAAGGGGAAGAAAAACACCTTCCTGCAACATTGACATTTGGAATGGTTGTTCCTCATGATTTTACTACTGTACGTCAATGAGAAAATGTGAATAGTATTTTTATAGACAGTTGAATTGGCCAGATGTATTTGTAAATAGCTGGGAAACTTATGCTCTTTTTGGACTGACCTTTTTTTCCCCATTATGTTTTGTTCACGTATATTGTGTGTGACCGGTTATTCTTATTTCATGGCTGTATATATCTGTAATTTGAACAGCACATATTTGATTTTGTAGATCTTGCAGGTTCTTTTAGTACTTTGGTGTGTTTTTTCGTGACCGTATGTAGCCCGGCTTGGTGCTTTTTGTGTTTTTTAACCTCTGCCTGTGTTCAAGAGGTAGGAGATGTTTTCTTTCTGTCAGGTATAGCCTCCCTCCATCACCCCACAATTTTCTCTTTTTGTACAGAATCCAGCGTGGGGAATCTGCAGCTGTGTGACGATAGCATTTGTATCTCCCAGGAATCTCTCTAAACTCCAGTTAGGCTTCTCCTGACTTTAGTCCTGGCCATATGAGTAGTGTCTAGTTCTTTCTCAGTATGTAATTCATATTCATGCACGATCTCCCATCTCTTCACATCTGCAGCCAACCGCACCGTGAGCTCAGGCTTAGCCGAGGGCCGTGAGCGCAAACACGGTGAAAAATGACGGCAAAAGCTGAGTTCAACCTTCTCAAATACATCCGCCATGGTGTTCCTCCAAGAGATCCGTAAGTCAGAGTGTATTATTCATGCTGTCAAGTGGACTAATTGCCTGGAGTGGTGTTCATTTGGCCACGTTGTTATTGAGTGACGGCTCATCAAAACTAAAGTCAAGTCTTGCCATTTTTAATGCCCATCTTCAGCTCTGGTCACAGTAAATTTCTTCACCACAGCTTTCCCATTCCCCAAAGCTAGAGCATTTAAATACTGTTTCACAGTTTTGTTACCTGAATCTATATTTTTAATTTAATATAAATAAATAAATACAACACCTGATATACGAGTCTTATAAGAGATCTTTTTGAATGACCCATTCTGACATTTTTTTCACAGCATTTTGAATGTCTTGATGGATAGCGAGAGTCTGTCAAGTCTGCGACCACCTCGAAGGCAATGATTCAGATTTTCACTCTCTTAAAATCAGATATGCCGCATGCTTTCAGATTTCAAAAATCACATACTACAGCCTTTTTAAGCATCATAAAAAAGATGGCATATAACATCAAAATGTCACAGTGAACCGCTAGATGTTCTGTCCATGTGATTTTGACTGCATATTCATCACTTTGTTTCAACAGAAGTCTTGTCTCTGAATTAAGCTCTAATCAGATGGCAATTGTTTTATATGAGGATGTGACGTAGTTCAGCATTTATAGGTGTTAGTCAGTCATTTTATTGTGCTTTACACTGCAATCTGATGAAAGTTATTGCACTTTTACCTGAATTGCATTGCAACCACCTTAAAACGTAATATCTTTGATAATCACAACAAACGTAATATAGTAAACCGTGATTATTTGTGTTGTGTGCTTGTGCATGACAGATCTTTTCCCCGCAGTGACATTTTATGGTATCATCACTGGAAATCCAATATTGTAAGAGGGTGTGATCAGTATTGTCTTTCTTTTTTTCTCAAAGTCAAATCACTTTTCTCAAGCACATAATTGAGTGTGATAGACGCAATCCATCATTTTCCCAGCCCTCCCCTCTTTACCTGTGATATTATAATATAGTAAACCGTGATTATTTGTGTTGTGTGCTTGTGCATGACAGATCTTTTCCCCGCAGTGACATTTTATGGTATCATCACTGGAAATCCAATATTGTAAGAGGGTGTGATCAGTATTGTCTAATCACTTTTCTCAAGCACATAATTGAGTGTGATAGACGCAATCCATCATTTTCCCAGCCCTCCCCTCTTTACCTGTGATATTCTGTATGGATTTTCCCTTGAAGAGAAATGATCAGAATCTCTGGATCTAAATATGACCGGATCTCTCCAGCTGAGATGATTTACTGCCGCAGTTTTTGTACCTGTTTTTCTGAAAACATCTGCATTCTACCCTAAAATAATTCATTTGATTGGGTAATATGCTCTAAATTAGGATCAAATTAGGTGCTTTCATATTACTTGTGTGTGAACAGAACCAGAAAAATTCTGGAAAATTAACTCCAGCAATCGCTCGCCTACAGGAATAGTTCATCCAAAAATAAAAATTGTTTAATAAAAAAAATAATCATTTACTCACTGTTCCAAACCAGTATGGTGTAATCCACCCCCCACCCCCCAATATTTCTTAAGATTCTTAAGAAGTCTACTGTATATCTATATATGTCTACTGTTTTATTTCACACAAATAAAAGCATACATAGAATGATATAAGGGTGAGTAAATCATGATGGAAACTGTATTATTTTCACTATAAACTAAATACTATTCACTAAATAGGCTACAATTCATTCACTATAAACTATTCATTTGAAGAATTGCAGCATTTTTGGGAAAAGGTCTGCCTATATTGTAAAATCTGGAATACATAAAAAAAAAATCCAGATTTTGCCCTGATATGCAGTCTGGAGATTTCGCAGAAAATCGCATAGTGTATAAAGGTACAGACGCCGATGTTTTAGCTTAACACTATGATTTTATTAAGTTGGCAAGTGTATGATGCCCATAGTGTTTTAAAATCTGGCAACAAAAACAAATGTGGCATTTTTACTATAAAGTTAATCTGTCAATTTCGCTGGTTTTGTATGTCAAAGTAGCTAATGATTACTTTAATTATATTATTAGTTGTTAATTATGTCACTCATCTCCAAATTCAGGATTAGTGTTTGCTTTAGTGATCATTTTTAAATATCCAATATTATAAAGAATCACCTTTAGAGTCACATTTACCCTGATAATATACTGCAGCTGTCTGCATTAATGAACCAAGGGAGAGCACAATGGTGTTCTCTTTCACAACAGAGCAATGCTATTCTATTTTAACATTGTGGAGCTGAGCATCTTCATTTCCATAAATGCAGAGATAAATGTTGTGCTTCGTCATGTGGCAAGAACGTATATGGCGTTAAAGGCGATAGAGGGCATTTTCCAGACTACGCAGCCTGGTGTTACTGAAAGCCCTGTCGGTACATCAGCACGCGCTGCGTTCGTGATTGAGTGGGCCCGGTATAGACCACTAAGCAGAGGAAGAGTTCCCCTGAGAGCTTTCATTATAGAACGCATATTACATTCCCTGCAGTGGAGAGATGAGGCGCAAAAGCCACCAAGCAAGAGTCTTTCATTTTCCCTCAACGTGCCCATCGATATACCTCT